TAAGACCTGTATACATGAAGTATGTATGACTGCGGTGGCACTGTTAACATAACCACGTGGGGGGGGGGGGGGGTTAGGCTGTGTAACACAATATTCAATCAAAATCACCACATTTCCTATTTTCCAACTGGTGTGTTACACGTCATGGTATCACTAGCCAATGGATCGTCTCTAGCACTGATATACGGTGTGCCTCCCAACGGTGTGCCTCCCTACTGTGTGCCTCCCTACTGTGTGCCTCCCTACTGTGTGCCTCCCTACTGTGTGCCTCCCTACTGTGTGCCTCCCTACTGTGTGCCTCCCTACTGTGTGCCTCCCTACTGTGTGCCTCCCTACTGTGTGCCTCCCTACTGTGTGCCTCCCTACTGTGTGCCTCCCTACTGTGTGCCTCCCTACTGTGTGCCTCCCTACTGTGTGCCTCCCTACGGTGTGCCTCCCTACTGTGTGCCTCCCTACTGTGTGCCTCCCTATGGGGTGTAAAAGGTGTTTGTGTGCTCAGTAAAGGGGTACAAAAGGGTAATTTTTTAATTTTGTCCCGAGGAGCGAGTTTATTGGGCAGCGCCATCCATTCTATGAGTGGACATACCGCCATAGCAGCATGTACAATACCCCCAATAGGAAGAAAACCCGCTGGGTTGTTCATCCTGTCACTTGTACGCAGACATAGCTGGGACTTAACTGTCTCACGTGAACAACTTAACAAACAAGAAGATTAACATTTGTCAATCCTTAAAATCTTATGTTATCTAGCGGGTGCAAAATGGGGGAATCTTTTAAGAACAGTATCAATATTTGATATATGGTATTTTCCTAACATAGGGGTGTTGTGTGTGCAGTTTTTTGTGTGTGTTCTATTGAAATACGTTTATTGAGGTGTCACACACAAAGGGATGAGGCAGCTTAAGCTATTCTTACCTCCTGTTCAGTACAACATGTATGTTTATATAGATTAACAGACATCGCAAACAATGAACATGTTACTGAACATTTTCGTTGGTAAACATACATTTCTTCCTGTATGCATGCAGAATGATACCAGACGTACACACATACGTTTATGACTAAGTGCATATACTTAAGTACCAATAAAGGGGTTACAAATACAGACTCAGACAAATCAACGAAAGGTTACAATCTTGGTGTGTGTGTTGTGTTTTGTGTGTGTGTGTGTGTGTGTGTGTGGTGGTTTTTGTGCTAAAACACTAAAGCAAATTTCATCTTCTTGAATACTTCTTTAATACTTCCTTGACACTTCATTCTGCTAGTAGTCCATCTCTACTCCTTCGTATCTTCCTTCCTTTCTTTACTGCTGGCCTCCTTCACCCTGTTAATCTGGCCACGACTGAGCACTGCACAACAAACCCATCAAGGTGGGGCTCTTCACTCGGGGCCCAGGTAAAGAATTTTCCCTGAGACGGCCCGGGGCGGCGGCCACCACACACACCACGCTCAACCAACCCGTCTCTTCTCCGGGCAGGCAGACACGGCCTTCCTCCCTGCTCTCTCCCACCGACTGTGTTCCCTTTCCACACTACCCCTTCTTGTTTTCCCCTTCCATAACCCTCACAGTCGGCTGCTCTCTACTCGCACTCTGGAGGCTGACCTAGCTCCCTGTCCCATCCCAGTCAGGGTATAGGGACCTCCCTCTTCTTTCCCAGCTAAGTGAGTGCCCTTCCTCTCCCCCTCATAGGCGACTGTATGCCCCGTCTCCCTTCTCAGGTGACAGCCCCTCCCCCTCTCCCAACTCATGCGATTATCCCATCACTTCCCTCCTAGACGACTGTCCCATCTCTCGCCTCCCAGGCGACTATCTCTCCCCCTCCCATTGAGCAAATTCACTTGAGTGTTTGTTCAGGATTTCATTCTTTTTTCTTTACGTTATACAGTGTGTTTTTTGTGTAGACTGCAACACGCCACACAGCTAATCTCCCCCCCACCCTAGATGGTGCCAGGCAAAGAATATAGTTTACTAAATAGCAGAAATGAATCTGTTTATCGCCATTTATTTCATCATTCTTTAAATCAAGATAAATAAGTCTTGGAATGAAGATTCTTTTTTACGGTGAAGTAGGGATGGTGGTAATGATCTTCATGGAACTACCGTCAACCTGTTACCCTACATTACCTCTTTTAAGAAGTTAGCCTGCTTAACAAGTTCGTTAACTAACGTTAATTAACCTCGTATCGTATGTAAGTCTTTCCCTCTAGTTTTGCCCTCATACTTTTTTCTTTTTTTTTATTGAAGCTCAGATGCTCGTTCATGATTCATGATTTTTCTTTGGTTAGAATACTGAACCATTCTTCCTGTTTATTGTATATATATGTCTAGCGACCTGCCGGATCACTGGCTTCAAATAACTACATGATAATCGCACCTAAGCTCATTACCCCAGCAAGCCGATTATAATGTTTGTTGACGTTGGTCTCTGCCCTGGTAACATGTGTGGGATGTGTTAACTCAAACCTCCCACCACCACGGCTGTTTTCAGAAAAGCTTCTCTAAGCCACAAAACACAACTTTTCAAAAGGCTCTTAAACAAAATAAACAAAATACTCACTATTTTTATTTTTACATGGATTCTGGTATTCCAGAGTTAAACTCGCACGGGAATGAACTTGTGGCTGTTGGCTGCCTTCTCCTTCACTGTACGACTTTAGGCTGTGTGCCCATGCAAGGATTAAGATAAATACCGGAGAACAGTAGGGAAGGTCGACTAAGGTCTTACTGAACGTGTCTCCACGATTCCATCAGCTTGTAAAAAAAATGAACAGGTGGTGCTTGCCAGAGATTATTGTAGTCAACTCCCTTTGTCAGAAACACCTTTTGACTGCCGGACTATACATAGCCAGCTGGCTATCCAGTAAGCTGGTGTACCTATACAGTACTGGACTCCTGGTTCAACCTTGACGACGAGGAGACGTCTGGACATCTGCTCCGCCTGGGAGCTGACGGATCTCGTTCTGTTTCACGATTTTTTCACGAGTTTGATAATGCCGTTTTGCGTTTCTATTCAACGGTCCGGATTCTTACGACGCCTGGCGCACATATCGCCTTGGGTCACAGTTGTTAGATTTTGAACGTTTTCTGGCTGGTACTTTGAGCGGGGTGACGGTGTCCGCGCCGGCTTGGCCGAGAGGTGCTGGGTCTTGGTGGGCTCCTGATGGGCCCTCAGACGTGGTGGGCCCTCAGCCGTGGTGGGCTCCTGGTGGGCCCTCAGCCGTGGTGGGCTCCTGGTGGGCCTTCAGCCGTGGTGGGCGGCTGGCTTCTGCTCTGCCGGAGGACACTGGATGAAATTTGGTGTTTTAGTTGGGGGCCGAGTTTTTGGTTTTGCTCTCCAGTGTTCTCCGTGGGGGCGAGGCCGGTGCTTGTCACCGTGAGGGACTCCTGGGGCTCCCCAATCATCTGCCTGCCTGTGTTTGTCTTTGACGCGAGGCATCTTAGTGTCTGGCGATACGAGTCTTCGTTTCACCATTAGGCTTCGCGATCAACCCTTCACGGGTTCGCCGGGGCCCATCCGATCCCACGGTCGTCGTCGCCATTAAATCAACAACAACAACATACCTATTCTGGACCCGTACATAGTCCGAATAGCTTCTTTTTCTAATATGAGGCGTTTAAAGTAAGGGGAAGGGAAGGGAAGTATAAGGAGAAAGCAACAAGCCAATTCGACTGTACAGCACAGAGAAGGGGTCAGGTTAAAGGATGGGACGGGGGGAAAGGAATGGTGCCCAACCACTTGGACGGTCGGGGATTGAACGCCGACCTGCATGAAATGAGATCGTCGCTCTCCCGTCCAGCCCAAGTTGTTTGGCGCTTTTAAAGCAAGCTACAAATACTCCTCCGTCATTTCATGTTATCCAGTCATCATAATGCTTGGCTTTAACGTGGATCCTCCTACAAAAAACGTCGCATTTCGCTCGTATGCGTCACATAAGGCAAAAAATTTCGTACTAGAAAATAGAAGCGGCTCGCGAAAGTGACGTACTGTCCCGTTTTCTGTTTTGGGTTCTCTGGTAAGTTAGGAGAGGTATGCGCTCTATGGTGAAAAATGGACGTAATTTGAAATGAAATCCGCTAACGAAAGTGATGTACTGTCCCGTTTTCTGTTTGAGTCCTCCGGCTTACTCGGAAAGGTTAGGAGAGGAAACCTTCGATTAACGTTTTTTCATGACGTTTGGAAACTTGAGGAGAATTTCCTGCCCTCCTAACCTACCATAGGTCCCTTAACTTACTGTTTTGAAAAAAAAAAAAAATATTTTCAATTTTTTTTCACTTTCAAATTACGTTCATTTTCGGCCATACGGGGAAACGGCCAAATTCAGACGTAATTTGTAAGAGGACATGTTGGTTTTAGGAGGTCGGGCTGCCGTCCACGGAGTACAGGGGCGGCAGACGTTTCATTTCAGTCAAAACTGTCATCTTTCACCTTCACTTGGAATTTTACCTCGCGAGTCTTGGTGTAATTTGCGAGACCAGTGAAGCCTCCTTTATTAGCTATTATTCCGGTCAAGCTTTACCTGAACGTTCGCTTTATTCACCACACAAATTCTTCCATTCAACGGTGTCTTGGATATCAATTCAGGATATCTTATTTCTCGGTGGACTCGTCCGATTTCCAAATTTCGGAGTTTTTTCATCTGCAAGATATTGAAATTCTTGGAAATCACGTTTAATGTGCTGAATTATGTTGCCATAATGTTGATAATATCCCCGATAATGTTGAATTTTGTTGCCGTGTTCCCGATAATGTTGAATTTTGTTGCCGCGTTCCCGATAATGCTGAATTGTGTTGCCGTGTTCCCGATAATGTTGAATTTTGTTGCCATGTTCCCGATAATGTTGAATTTTGTTGCCATGTTCCCGGTAATGTTGAATTTTGTTGTCATGTTTCTGATAACGGAACAACATTGTAAGGGCTGGTTATGTCACGACACAACATCGTGTTGGTTGAGAGCTTCCCGCGGGGCTTGATGCGTTCTCCCTCAGTGAACAAGACTGATTATATCGCTGCTAGGGAAGGTGTCATCTTTCCGCCCGTGTCGGTCGCAAGCCTCCCAGCGTCCGTGTCGGTCGCAAGGCTCCCAGCGTCCGTGTCGGTCGCAAGGCTCCCAGCGTCCGTGTCGGTCTCGGGGCTCCCAGCGTCCGTGTGGGTCACAAGCCTCCCAGCGTCCGTGTGGGTCACAAGGCTCCCAGCGTCCGTGTGGGTCACAAGGCTCCCAGCGTCCGTGTGGGTCACAAGGCTCCCAGCGTCCGTGTCGGTCGCAAGGCTCCCAGCGTCCGTGTCGGTCGCAAGGCTCCCAGCGTCCGTGTGGGTCACAAGCCTCCCAGCGTCCGTGTCGGTCGCAAGGCTCCCAGCGTCCGTGTGGGTCACAAGCCTCCCAGCGTCCGTGTGGGTCACAAGGCTCCCAGCGTCCGTGTGGGTCGCAAGGCTCCCAGCGTCCGTGTGGGTCGCAAGGCTCCCAGCGTCCGTGTCGGTCGCAAGGCTCCCAGCGCCCGTGTCGGTCTCAGGGCTCCCAGCGCCCGTGTCGGTCTCAGGGCTCCCAGCGCCCGTGTCGGTCGCAAGGCTCCCAGCGTCCGTGTGGGTCACAAGCCTCCCAGCGTCCGTGTGGGTCACAAGGCTCCCAGCGTCCGTGTGGGTCGCAAGGCTCCCAGCGTCCGTGTGGGTCGCAAGGCTCCCAGCGTCCGTGTCGGTCGCAAGGCTCCCAGCGCCCGTGTCGGTCTCAGGGCTCCCAGCGCCCGTGTCGGTCTCAGGGCTCCCAGCGCCCGTGTCGGTCGCAAGGCTCCCAGCGTCCGTGTCGGTCGCAAGGCTCCCAGCGTCCGTGTCGGTCGCAAGCCTCCCAGCGCCCGTGTCGGTCTCAGGGCTCCCAGCGTCCGTGTCGGTCTCGGGGCTCCCAGCGTCCGTGTCGGTCTCGGGGCTCCCAGCGTCCGTGTCGGTCTCGGGGCTCCCAGCGTCCGTGTCGGTCGCAAGGCTCCCAGCGTCCGTGTCGGTCGCAAGGCTCCCAGCGTCCGTGTCGGTCGCAAGGCTCCCAGCGTCCGTGTCGGTCGCAAAGCTCCCAGCGTCCGTGTCGGTCGCAAGGCTCCCAGCGTCCGTGTCGGTCGCAAGGCTCCCAGCGTCCGTGTCGGTCGCAAGCCTCCCAGCGTCCGTGTCGGTCGCTCGGCTCCCAGCGTCCGTGTCGGTCGCTAGGCTCCCAGCGTCCGTGTCGGTCGCAAGCCTCCCAGCGTCCGTGTCGGTCGCAAGGCTCCCAGCGTCCGTGTCGGTCGCAAGGCTCCCAGCGTCCGTGTCGGTCGCAAGGCTCCCAGCGTCCGTGTCGGTCGCAAGGCTCCCAGCGTCCGTGTCGGTCGCAAGGCTCCCAGCGTCCGTGTCGGTCGCAAGGCTCCCAGCGTCCGTGTCGGTCGCAAGGCTCCCAGCGTCCGTGTCGGTCGCAAGGCTCCCAGCGCCCGTGTCGGTCGCAAGGCTCCCAGCGTCCGCGTCGGTCGCCAGGCTCCCAGCGTCCGCGTCGGTCGCAAGGCTCCCAGCGTCCGTGTCGGTCGCAAGGCTCCCAGCGTCCGTGTCGGTCGCAAGGCTCCCAGCGTCCGTGTCGGTCGCAAGGCTCCCAGCGTCCGTGTCGGTCGCAAGGCTCCCAGCACTACAATAATACCATTTGTATCGTTTGGGAGGTTTTTAATATTCTCAGAAAGCAGCTGGCCACAACACCCAGGGCCCGAGGGGTGAACGCGAGGGATACAAGCCCACACATTGAACAGTTGTTATTAAGAACATGTTGCAACCTCTGCAACATGGCAGGTTTTTAACAACATGTCACATGTTCCTAGGAACGTATCTCATGTCTTTTTGGAACACGTTGCATGTTTGTTTTTTAAAATATCAAATTTGTTAATTATCTTAATTAATTTGCATTGCAGACTTAACATTATGTTGACGCTGTTCGAAACCAGTTTCCACAAACTGAATGTTCGACACAGACGTTGAGAACACACACAACGAGTCATCTTTCATGTATGAATGTGCACAGTTTAATAGAATTGTCTATTAAACTTCCCCCTCCCCCCCCCCACCTCCGAACATGCCTCTTCCCCCCTACCCCTCCAATTCCCCATCCCTCGTCTCTTATCGCCCCCTTTCTCCACCCCATCCATACCACGATCCCGGTCTTGCCTAACTCCTTCCAAGTATCTGCTGCCAGGGGGGAACAGATGTATCAGTTGAAAGGGCAAGTTGTGTGAGAGTATCGTGCAGGTCACAAAGTTAAAAAATAGACTTCACGCAGCTGTTTAGATACGTAAACATTGATCCAAATGGATGCCCAGACTTGTGAAGTACATGATGAATCAGGAGAAAGTTATGTATGTGGAGGAGTTAAAGCTGATTGATTCAGTTAATTTGCTCGATAATTTCTTTAAATTAAATGATAAAGAAATTAGAACAGCAAATATTCTATTTAAATATGAAGTCAAATCTTCAAATTTTCCAGATTTGGGGCAAAACATGCAGGAAAGTCTGGGCAACTGAAAACACTTTGGTCAGTTTCCAGACAATAGAGAAGTAGTGAGAGAAATGTAAACAAAGTAGCCCAACATAACACTTTACAGATATATAAAAAAGTAACATGCAGGTTATATACATATATAATATATAATATTGGTAGGGCAGATCCTACCAGAGCGTATGAGGGGACACAGCGGGAACTCATGATCAAACGTTCATTGAAGCAGCCAGACAATGGGACACCATTGCACACCCTCAACCCCGACCACAAGCCCCAAAAGACCACAAGCAAGCCCACTAGGATAGCCCCATAATGGAAAAGACTGTCACAGCAATGAAAAACAACACAGATGTTCAAAACAAAGCCCGCCTCCTAGCGGTAACAGCACCCCCACCCCGGGGATTTTTTGCTGTATTCACCTAGTTGTACTTGCGGGGATTAAGCTCTGCTCTTTCGGCCCGCCTCTCGACCGTCAATCAACTGTTTCTAACTACTACTGCTACTACTATTTTCTTATTCCACATCACACACACAGAGACACACACGGAATTGATAGGGTAGATAAAGACAGGCTATTTAACACAAGGGGCACACGCACAAGGGGACACACGTGGAAACTGAGCGCCCAAATGAGCCACAGAGATATTAGAAAGAACTTTTTTAGTGTCAGAGTGGTTGACAAATGGAATGCATTAGGAAGTGATGTGGTGGAGGCTGACTCCATACACAGTTTCAAATGTAGATATGATAGCCCAATAGGCTCAGGAATCTGTACACCTGTTGATTGACGGTTGAGAGGCAGGACCAAAGAGCCAGAGCTCAACCCCCGCAAACACACCTAGGTGAGTACAACTAGGTGAGTACACACACACCAGGAAGCAGCCCGTGACAGCTGACTAACTCCCAGGTACCTATTTACTGCTAGGTAACAGGGGGATAGGGTGAAAGAAACTCTGCGCAATGTTTCTCGCCGGCGCCCGGGATCGAACCCGGGACCACAGAATCACAAGTCCAGCGTGCTGTCCGCTTAGCCGGCCGACCCCCAATGCAGCCCTGGGAACTGGCCTCAATCATGACGCTCTCCGCATTGGAGTTGCCCTTCGCCATGCCGCCCCCATCCTCACCGAACATAGGTGCATCTGCGGAACTGCGATGGCAGACCAATATTGTCGTCATGGTCTGGTGTGTCGTAAATCACAGGGTAAGAGTGCAAGACATGAAGAAGTCAACGACATCATCAAGAGGAGCCTCGCCACAGCCCGCTGCCCGGCACAAAGAGAACCACACTTATCCAGACCTAACGACCCTCAGAAGCGCCCAGGTGGGGTCACCTTGCTACCTTGGAAGGATAGTAAGCAAGTACTGTGGGACTACACGTGTGCTGCCACACTGGCCAGTACCTACCTCCACTACAGCACACGTGAAAGCGGTGGCGCTGCTTCTTTCAGGGAATTGCAGAAAATTATTAAATACAGAGGTCTGGCACACTGCTACAGCTTTGTTCCGATCGGTTCGGAGACCCTCGGTTCGTAGGGAAAATGTGCATTGAAGTTCCTGAAGGAATTGAGGGACAAATTGATCGGCGCTATGAAAGATCAGAGAGTAAAAAGTTTCTTGTTCCAGCGCCTCAGTGTTGCGATTCAGAGGGGAAATGCCTGTTGCGTCTTGGGCACTAGTCCAACTTCAGAGGAATTCGAAGAAGTGTTTGACTTGCAACAATGTTCGAACCCGTCTGTGACATTTATCAATGTTTCCCATTGTCGTGTTTTTCGAGAGATCGAGAACCTTTAAGCACTCTTTGTATCAACCCATGTATATCTTGTAACCATTAATACATAATAAAGCACAAAAAACACAAAAGGAAGGGCATGGTAGGAGAAAAGCTCACAAATTGTATTGGAGGGGATCTAAATATTCCCTCTTATGCGTTATGAGTGGTTTCCTTCGAGGCTTTGGGTCCCCCTTCCAGCCAGAGGATATAAATGTTGTACCTAGCAGCCAAAACGTCGAAATCGGCCTACTATGCAAAGCCCGATTTGCCTAATAAGCCAAGTTTTCCTGAATTTATATATTTTTCAATATTATTTCTTATGAAATGATAAAGCTACCCATTTCATTATGTATGAGTTAATTTGTTTAAATTTGAGTTAAAACTAACGTGGATATATGACCGAACCTAACCAACCCTACCTAACCTAACCTAACACAATTAAGTCAATAATATATGTTCTTAATATAATATAATAATAATTCAAATAAACTAATTGGAAACAATTTATGGAAAATAAAGAAAATCTCTCGGCCTATTAGGCAAATCGATTCTTGCATAGTAGGCGGAGAAGTGTGTTCTGGCTACTAAGTACGACATTATAATATATATTGTGTGTGTGGACCAGCGGTCGACCCCAAACACGCATTCATAAATGTTTAAGATGCTGTTCATTCAAAACAGGGATTTTCTCAAATATAAGTTAATATTATTATTATATTAGCATATTGGTCATATTTAGGCATTGGTTAGGTTCAGTTAGCAGTTTAGATTCTGTTGGTGATTATTTGTATTTGTAATGCTTGGGTGAAGCATTTACAGCGTTGTGGTTCGAACTAAAGTCGTCAGTGAAGCACTTGTTCAGTAAGTGCTCGGACGTCATCATTTGAGAGTCGTGTGTAAACCGTTTTTCATTCATTAACAGGGGGTTTGGCGGCTGCATGGAATGGACTTTGGTCTTTTGTTTATGAGGTCGGGCTGGATCGTCTATAACTAGATGATCATTGGTCTAGTGGTTATGGTACTCTGTACGCCAAGGGGTCATTCTGGTTGGCGGGGGTTCGAATCCTGGTCGAATCAATAGAGGTCTTAGTGACATAATATATAACAAAGATTGTATATTAAGAAGGACTAGACCAAAAAACTTCATAATACAAAATATAATAAACATGAAAGAATGTATTTAAAAGTGAAAAAACTGAGCTTTTGATTGTATATTTGAGACCACGTAAAATGCTGATCATCTAACCCACATATTTTTCCTTGCTCCCAAAGTGTGTGTTATTAACTATCAACAAAATGTGCATGGAAATATACATTTAACTTAAGCAGACCAAGACAAAACATTAGTTAAGTCCTCCAAAGCAGAAAACGGGCAACCCCACAACAGAAGCATGGTATTGATGACCACGCATCAGAATATGGAGAAACAAGATAATACCAATGTATTATCCTATGCATTATTTCTATTATCCTATTCATTATTTCTATTATCCTTATTATTATTTCCATAGTATTCATTATTTCATGGTAAACATTCTTTCGCACATGATTTCTCTGCAGGCTGTCTCAATATAAACTTATGATCTACTCACGTCTGTCATGGGATTCGTAACAACTTGCGTATTACAGGCAAAGTATGATGCATATAATTTTTGTTTTTTGGGGGGCAGGGGGGGGGGATATCAATGCCTAATGTTCTAGTATATGACAAAGTTTACCTTTGAATGTTTAGAACATGGTAAATGGCCAGCCGATTTTAAGAGCTGGTGATACTGGAATCGGGTGGAAAGAACTCTTGTGAACCAAGAGGTTCACAAGGTTCTTCATGGCACAGCGCCAATTGATTTGTGGCGATCCTGACCCGACCATGTTGAGCACATGGTCGGGTCCCGCAACCCCGCAACAGTCACGTTTGAAAACTAGTCTAACCCCCAAGTCATCATCAAGCCTCGGCCCAACAGTTCAACCCAGGAATTTGAATGAGACTCCCAAAAATCGCAGAGAAGCAAGGTTCAACTGCCTGAATGTCAGCTTTTTATTAAATATATATTATGAATGTTGGTGGTAAGTATGCACCGTCTCTATTACCATGGGTGCCTGGGGCCGGATTCACCAAGCAGTTACGCAAGTACTCACGAAACTTTTCGTTTGTATCTCCGTCTTGGTGTCGAGATTCAGGAAGCTATTTACGAACGGAGATCCTCCCAATAACGGTCCTCACCTCTCTCTCTTGCCTATTTATTGCCTTCATCACCTTCTCTCATCACAATCGCCTGGAGAGTGGTTCAGGACCTGACCGAAACGTCGTCGTCCCTTCACCTTCTAGTGTGTGGTCTGGTCAACCTCCCAATAACACCGCTTCACGCTC